AAAAAAAACATTCAATACAAACCATTAAATTGGTAAAATGATAGAAATATGAAAGTATAAAATGGTGTGTTTAAAGAAATGATACAACAAAATAAACATTGAATTTATATGAGTATTTATGAAAAAAAGACAAAAAGTGTATGATAGATAAATAACAAATTAATTATAAGAAACAACAAAAATTACTAAACAAAAAAGGAAATTCCAGTTTAAGTAAATTGGAAATAACATAAAATCAGATGAAATGTATTTTTTACTCTCATCAACATGTAATGAAAAACACAAATGAATAAAAGTCAAACAATAACACATTTGTTTGTTGAATGTTGGTTTTCAATTTGGCATTGATTTTCAGAGATGAATTGATAAATTGATTTGAAATAAAGATAAGATACTTGAGAGTCATCGTCTAAGTCAAATTCATAGTGTTTGATTTTATACCTTAAAGAAAGTTCCATAATTTCTTCTTGACTAACTTCTTGTTGACTTTCAAATTCACGTCCTAATCCAACAAGAATTTTCATTGAATTACATGGAGTTCTTTGATTTATTTGGTCGAGTGTTGTTTGAATAAATCTAAATGATGATGCGTCAGTCATGTCGTAAACAAAATAAATAATGTCTGTATGTGGAAGAAACGCTTCAATATTGGTTCTGAGCCTTTCTTGACCAGCAACATCCCATACTTGCATTTTGATAAAGACACGATCAATAATAACTGTTACAAATTTAAAGTCAACACCAAACCTTAAAAGGTTCATTGAATTTCCTGGAAAACTCAACATTCGTTGTTTAGCATCACGTGAATTTCCAATTACTAGACTTTTAAGACAAATTGAATTTACATTACTCATTTATAGAACTATTAGTTCATTTCTAAAAATCTGTTTTTTTTACCATTTTCTCTTTTCTTGTTTTATTCTTAAAAACCATCAGATTTTTGGTATTATTATTATAATTTGTGAATTATCTTTAGTAAGATGAAAAGACAAACTAAGAAGAAATGAAATAAACAAAAAAAGAACAAATGATACACTCTGAGTGGGAAGCACCAATTGATCCGTTTAAAATTCTAGAGAAATATTATAAAGAATTACCAATAGCAAAACATATTTTAATTGAACATGGAAAATCCATATATGGTAAATGCGAACAAGTCAATGCAAAACACCCAGAGTATCATATTAATATGGAGTTCATCAAAGAAGTTGCATACCTTCATGATATCGGTATTTTTCTTGTTGACTCTCCACAATTTGGATGTAATGGAAAAGAGCCATATATCAAACATGGAATATTAGGTGCAGACATTCTAAGAGAACTTGGATTGGAATATCATGCACGTGTTGCTGAAAGACACACTGGATCTGGGATTGATCCAACTCAAATTGTTGAACAACATCTTCCTTTACCTACAGATAGAATATTATTACCTAAAACAATAGAAGAGAAATTATTATGTTATGCTGATAAGTTCTTCTCAAAATCACATTTAGAAGATACATTAACACATCAAATGATTAGAGAAAAACTCCAAAAACATGGAAAAGATGTTGTTCAACGATTAGACGATTTGTTTAAAATGTTTGAGTAGTAACTCTTTGTCTATTATCTTTTTTATTTGTTCATTTATTTTTATCTCATAAAATAAAGACTGTTATGTAAACATTCTTTCAATGTTTGTATTTAATAATAAGAAAACAACCACAGCCAATTTGACAAACTATGAAAAATCATTAAAAATACGTATTAAATTCTTATTTGTTTGTCATTAATTTGTTCTAAGTTGGAGAACAACTAATTAACTTATTCTTCATGAAAACAATATACATTATTGTATTTCTAGCTTCATCAATAATGAACAAAGCTACTTTGTTCACTTCAATAAAAGGTTAAAATGATAAAACTCACTAACTGTTATTACCAATCATAATACATTCATTGATTAATATGATTGTAGAATAATTGATAAATCAAAAATAAAATAATACAAAGAATGAAGTGGATAATATGTTAAATAAATAAAACATTAAAGAAAATGAATATAAGAGGAGAAACACATTAATAAGAATGATTAAAACAAATTCTTAAATGAGAATTTAAAAGTGAACTGTTAAATGATAAATTTCATGAAAATTTTTGTGTATAATCTTGTATTAACAATTAAACATAAGAATAGCACAACAACAAAATAACAAAATAACTATTATTTATAAAGATAGAATGAATGATAATAAATCCAACAATTTATATTCAATATTAATTATCTATCAAAAGTTATTTATTCAACAATACTAAGTATAAAATAGAATATAAAATCATATAAAAATACATTATTACATATTAATGTTATTTATTTTAATACGGAAACACTCATCATTATTTATTATGAACAATCACTAAATATCTTTTTTTCTCTTCTTATGAT